AACCCTATGTATTGTTGTGACTAGGGGTCACGGGATTTTGGGGTATGTTTGATAAACAAACCTTGGGCCTACGGGCCGACTACTTGACTTTATATATAAAGTAAGTATATTTTAAAACGGGGTAACTTGGGGTTACGGCCTAGATTATATTATCACCCTATTTGAGGGTCTTGTGTTTGAAATACTTGTTGTATATCTATTAGATGCCATCCACACCAGCACTTTATAGCCCTATAGAGTGCTGACCCCTTCGGGGGCGTCCCACCACCATTTTTCAGGTTGAGGCTAGAGCTTGCTTCCTGTGCTCGTTGCTCGAGAGATTCATCTAGGAGGGAAGACTTGGTTCGTGCTTCCTCCATTCTGTTTTTTTTAAACATTAATAAACATGCTCATGGATATTTTACAATAGAGCCTGCGTGCTCATGAATAGCCATGTGTGGCCCTTTTGTTTTAAACAATGTTTTCCGCTGCGTTATGAATTACTTATTATGTTTGTTTATGGATGTATATGTGTGAATGATATTCAAGACGCCTTGTATGATATGAATGTGTTGGACTGCGGTTGACTATTCGTATTGTACGGCGGGTTGTTGACGTGTCCGGATAGGTCCGGGGCGTGACAATTAAGTTGGTATCAGAGACTTAGTCCATAAACTTCATAATGAAGTCTCAAAATTCTCTTTTTGAAAAGATTTTGAAAACCATGAGCATAGAAGTTTTGTACTTGGAGAGCTTTTGGTACTTGGGTTGCAAGGTCTCTAATTGTTAAGATGGTACCCTTAGCAATTGGTATGGTAGTGACTCGAGCCAAAATGTGTCTTAAGTACCTATCCGTCAATTGACATTTGATACGAGTCTAACGACTCTTTCCCAATTTCTTTCAGAAATGGACCGTGGTGGCAGGATTACTAGGAGAAACCCGACCGGCCGTGTACCAGTGGAGACTGGACAGGGCAGTCGAAGGACCTCTAGGGCATCTAGAGGAGCTGGCCGTGGAGGCCGATCACAGACCGTGAGTGACGGTCATGTTGACACAGAAAGTGAAACCAACTGGTCCTATGAGGACTCGACTTACCAACCGGAAACCGAGCCGGTTGAGACCCCTTACGAAGGGGATGACGATGATGTGAGCGATGAAGAGGGGGAGAATGACTCCCTAGCAAGAATTGAGGCGCTGCTCCAACAATATCAACGGGAGCGCGAGGAAAGGAGGGAACGCCGAAGGCGCCGGGGAGGGCGAATTTCAGGTGAGGCTTCAAGAGGAAGAAGCCATGGCGATTCTCGGGCCCACATTGAACCACATGGGGGCCGGGGCGATGGAGGTCCAATCATAAGGATCTCCAAGTACATCAAAGAGGCACGAGATTTGGGGTGCAAACCCTTCAACGGAGCAGGCGACATCTCGGTCGCCGCGGAATGGATCAAGAGGTTGAACGAGGCAGCCCTTGATATGCAACTCACCCCCGAATTTAAACTAAGGGTGGCGGTGAGATTGCTTGAAGGGATGGCATCCACATGGTGGGATGGAGCCAAGGGAAAGTATGGCAATACCGTGACTTGGGAGAATTTCCGACAGGAGTTCTTTGCCCAATATTATTCTGATTTTGAGGTGAACGCTAAAAGGAGAGAGTATACCCTCCTGACCCAAGGTGGCAAGATGACGGTGAGGCAACTTGAACATAAATTCAGGGAGCTCGCGGAGTTCATACCGGAGTATGTCTGTGACGAGAACCGGATGGTAAATCACTTCTGGGATGCCTTAGACCTGGAGGTGCGTGAGAGGGCAACACAGTTGCCTAACATGACCTTTAGCCAAGTGGTCGAGCAAGGGCTGAAAGGAGAGAAAGAATGGGAAGAGAGAAAGTTGAAAAACGCCGAAGAGGCGAAGAAGAGAAAGTGGGAGAACCATGGACCTCAAGGTCCTAGCAAAAAGGGGAATCATGGGGGAGGAGGATCCTTTCGGACACCCCCACTGCCATCTAGGGGAAGTCAAGGCCCGGGCGGGCAATCACAAGCCTCGGGGGGGGACTCGTTGCAAGAATTGCAAGAGGAACCACCTGGGGAAATGTCGTGACCCTCCTAGATGCTACCAATGCGGAAACACCGGGCACTTGAAGATGAATTGCCCACAATTGGGTGGGGCAAGGTCATCGGGACCAAGTAGTGGTAATACCGGGACACGGAATCAAGCCGGGACTTCACAAGCGTCCAGGGGGCAAGGGGGAGCAAGCGCAAGCAATGCGCCGTCCGTGAATCAAGGAAGGACTCAAGCTAGGGTCTACGCGATGACGGAGGCGGATGCTCAAGCTAACCCGGATTCCGTTGCAGGTATTGCCTCTCGTATGCTAGTGTTTTATCCTTAATTAGTCCATAAATTGAGGTTACTAATCGCTAGGATCATTGCACAAGGTTTTGGGGTCAAACCGGGGGATTTCGGGCAACTTCAGGCGGCTGGAACCCAGGCACGATCGTGCCTAAGGCAGACACGATCGTGCCTCCAAGTCAGTAGCTGCCCAGGAATTTCCCAGCCCAGGCACGATCGTGCCTAAGGCAGACACGATCGTGCCTACAAGGCAGTAGCTCCCCAGGTGTTTCCCCAAACCAGGCACGATCGTGCCTAAGGCAGACACGATCGTGCCTCCAAGGCAGTAGCTTCCCAGAGTTTTCCCCGACCCAGGCACGATCGTGCCTAAGGCAGGCACGGTTGTGTCTCCAAGGCAGTAGCCCCCAGGGCTTTTTCCGGAGCCAGGCACGATCGTGCCTACCCCAGGCACGCCGTGCCTGGCACCCAGATTGCCGAAATGTGATTTTTCGCACCGTTTTGCGACGATAAGACCTTTTCTTGATCTCTAACGTGCGTGTGAACATTGTAACCTTCTATAAATGAGTAGGGAGGGTAGGAAAGATGTCTTACACGGTTCATGAATGTAGGAACACTAAAGATTAATGGGAAGGATGCGCGAATCCTTATCGATACCGGGGCACAACGTTCATTTGTGAATGAAGCATTCGCCAAGAGATTGGGAGTGCAATCCGCACCATTGATGCAAACCTTAGTGGTATCAACACCACTAGGGGACGACGTGGAAAGAACTTGTTACTATCCATCTTGTGGGGTGGAGGTTAACGGTCAAACCTTGACGTGTGACTTCGTACCGCTGAGCATGATTGAATTCGATGCAATCCTAGGGATGGATTGGCTAGAAAGGAACCATGCTAGGGTAGATTGCTACACGAAGGTTCTTGAACTCGAAGGCAATGATGGGGGGACCCTACGCTTCGAGGGCGATCGAGGGAGATCAAATAGCTGTATCATATCCGCCGTGAGAGCGAGAAGTATGATGAGAAAGGGGTGCCACGCATATCTAGCATACGTGGTTGACAAAACCAAAGAAGAAACAGACATCGACGATGTGAGGGTGGTTTGTAAGTATCCGGATGTCTTTCCAAAAGATTTACCGGGACTCCCACCCGATAGAGAGATTGAATTTGTGATCGAGGTCGAGCCCGGCACCAAACCAATCTCCATACCGCCATACCGTATGGCACCCGCTGAACTTAACGAGTTGAAAACCCAATTGCAAGAGCTTTTGGATAATGGTTTCATTAGACCAAGCCACTCCCCGTGGGGAGCACCAGTTCTTTTTGTGAAGAAGAAAGATGGGACACTTCGAATGTGCATTGACTATCGACAACTGAACAAGGTCACAATCAAGAATAGGTATCCCTTGCCTAGGATTGATGACTTGTTTGATCAACTACGAGGAGCAACCGTGTTTTCGAAGATTGACTTGAGGTCGGGGTACCATCAATTGAAGATTAAGGAAGACGACATACCAAAGAGTGCTTTCCGCACAAGGTGTAACACCGGACCCGAATTTTACCCAGATAAATTTTTTTTCATAAAGTACTTGGTTAAAGAAGGTAAATCAAGACTAAGAGTAGTCTTGATAAATGAGAAAGTAAAAATTTTGTCTTAAATTAATAAAGGGTTATTAATTTAAACGTGGGACCACACGTGGTATTTCAAGTTTATAAAATATTACTATTTTCCAAAACGATACTATTATGATAGTAGGAATGGGTCGTGGACCCCATTGTTATAAAGATCGACAAGTGGACGGCCGAGCGGGCCAGGGCCACTATTCGATAGTGAGGAGTCCTTAATTATCGGACTGTCAATAATTCGTAGGACTACGAATTTATAACAGAAGAAATATAAACATTCTAAGAAACCAAAATAATGGGATGAATAATATTGATTAAATTGACATATTAGAGGTGGGTACTTTTGGAGGACCCTACCTTGAAGATATTTTCGTATAAGAATAAACAGATAAGATGTTATCTGTTCATACAGTTCGGGCCACTTAAAAATAAGTGTAACATTTTATTAAAGTGTCACCAAATATGAAACCACATATTATGTAATGAGAAATGACGAGTGAATTTTCGAGGCAACGCGTTCTCATTTTTACTGTTACTTCAACAGTAAAATACACGTTGGGCCCACACGTGGGCGGCGACCATCCGATATTTGAGGACCACATAATATATTCATCTCGGTCTAGATACTATTTATATGATGGTGTAAATTAATGTTGAGCCATAAAGTTGGCCTTTCGATCAAACAAGGTCCCATTATCGGTATAGTTAGTTAATCAGATAACAGCCCGAAATAAATTCCGGGGACCATTAAATTGAAGTTGGGTAATATATATTCATTTTAGAGTCCAATATTAATTGGAAGAATGATATATATTTTACTTAACCCGATAAAATAAAATATAATTAAAACAGTCCAGAAAATACAACTTTCGGGACCAATTGTACACTTTGGGACATAAAGGGATGACCTCCCACATGGGTGGGGGCCACCCCACGACTTATGGTCTCAATTAAGTGAGGAGGACCATGTTGGAGAGCTGGAAATGAATTGAGATGATGGGGGGATTAATCAAGTCATCAAATGAACTTCTCCCCCACACCATTCACACATGAAAGACAACAAGGACATCTCACTCACCCACCCTCCTATTATTTCGGCCCTAGCATCAAGTAGGGAGGAAAGGAGTCTCAAAAACATCATCTCCACCAGCTCTACTCGAGCTAAGAACAAGGGGAAAGAAGGAAGCAAGAAGAGAGGAGGCTGCCAACCAGTTCGTACAATTTCAACCCTCGAGATTGTTCACTTCATATCTCACGCATCTCTTATCCAATAAGCTCGAGTAAGGTGTCATTAGATAGGTCTTGAAGAGAGCTTTCATACGAGGTGCTGCACTTAAGGATACGAGGTGTTTACAGCTCAAAAAGGGCAGATAAACACACGAGGTATAAATCTGGATTCTCAAAACAGTTTGTATTTGGTTTCTAGTTATTACCCAAAATTGTTTATAAACCCTATTAACGAATAAAGTGGATATCCTACACGATTATAAGTGTAGTATAAGACCTTAATATAGTAATTTAATCATCCAAAGGGTTGGCTAATAACCATGAACGGAGTTATGACCGGAGTAAGACCGGTTCACCGGAAAACACCTTCTCGGAAGGTTTTGATGTTTATACCACTTTTGGTTTATGAAACCTTGTTAGGTCTTTTACCAAGATATTATAGACTTCTCGAGGAATCTAGGAGTGGCCGGAAAAGTCGCCGGAGCCGCCGGAGTTTTCGCCGGAAAATTCAAAAGTCGCCGGAGTTCGAACAAAGAAGATAAAAGCTTGCTAGCGTCATTTCAAGGTGAGTGGACGACTACGTGTCTTTTTTTTTTTTTTTTTTTTTTTTTTTTTTTTTTTTTTTTTTGACCCGGTAATGATCCAAAAAACCCCATAGGGTTTTATGGGGTGGGGGCCAGGGAACACCCCACCTATTTATTGAGAAAAAAGAGAATACAAAGAGTAGGAGGGCAAAACCAAAGCCTACTCAAAATTAAAGTACATAAGGGAAACTAATTGCATCAAATTTAAGGATACCAACAAAGTGAGTAAAATGATGATTATTGGTTTTTACCGAAGTATTTCGGTAAGCTAAATACTCCGAGGCTCTGTTAATCTTCGGATGTATGTGCGTGATTGTCCAATTATGGGTCGTTAACCTTTTCTTGATATTCCGTATGCGCGGCCAATATTGCCAATGTGGAATTGAGATTCCCGTAATACCTTCATAGACATCCTTGTTGTCAACTTCAATCACAATATTGATAAGCTTGTGAGCCTTGAGCCTAGGGATGAGCCAACTGATGGAGTCATAAGCTGCAATTGTAACATTATCATGAGGTGCCAGCTGAGTTGTATGCCCATAGTATCTTCCGTCAGCATCCCGAATCAGTGCTGCCGTGCGGATGAGTTTAGGGTTGAGGTGTCGTGAGGCTAGGTTGATTTTGTAGTAGGTTGGCGGGGGTTTTCTCCAGAAATGGAGACTAGGAGGTTTAGTGATCTTATTCAGTGTAGTAGTCCATATGTTGAAGGGGATATCATGGGTAGTGTTCTGGAAAGGTTTGACAACCGACATAGCAAAAAGCTCAGTCTTAATAGTATTTATTGCCTCAGTAAGATATGGCTTTTTTTCATCAAAAAGAATTTTGTTCCGAATTTTCCACAGCTGCCAGAGTATAGTATTAGGAATGGTATAGTTTAGGTCCTTTATCCCCTTGAAGTTATTATACCACCCTAACACATAATTCCAATGGCTATGATTGTTTGGCGGCCTGAATTTGAAAATAGTTTCGAAATGGTTCCAAACCTTTTGACTGAAAGGGCAATTAAGAAAATAATGCTCTAAAGTATCCTCATGGGGGCAAATAGGGCATTTAAAGGGGCCAAAAATACCAAGTCGATTGAGGTTTTTCTCAAAAGGGAGGATTCTGTTTTCAAGCCGCCAAATAAAAAAAGAGATTTTCTTAGGAGTTCTGGAATTCCAAATAAAATCAGCGTTTGGCTTGGTAGCCCTCTTAGGTCTAATTACATCATAGGCACTAGAAAAACTAAACTTTCCATTAGTGTTCGGTTGCCAAATACAGGTGTCCTCGACCTCTGAAAAGTGCATATGTACCTCTTTTATTTTGTCACAAACGAAATGGGGCAGACAGTTAGCTATTTGGGGGATCAGGTCTCCATCAATAAAGGAATCACAGATGGACAGATTTTGGATATCAGTAGGGACGTTTTCCAGGTATGTGTAAAGAGGTCCCAGGTCATTCCAATTTGTATACCAGAAGGAGCTGTTTCCTTTGTTAACCTGTATGCTGCAATTGGCCTCAAAAGTTTGATAAACAGAGTTAAGAGAGTTATGCATAACAGAAAGGGCATCAGCATGCAGGGAGTTATACCATAACGCCCAAAGACCATAATTGTTTTTCACTTTCCAGTGAAGTTTAAGTAAAAAAGCATCCTGAATGTGCTTAAGGCTTCTAAAACCCAGTCCGTTTTCATTTATAGGGTAACAACAATTTGTCCAGCTTCTCCAAATATGCTTTTTATTGCCCACTTTGTTATCCCACAGAAAATTAGAAAGTTTCCTTTCCATTTTATAGATGGTGTTACGGGGGATAGGGGAGATTGCCATATGATATAGGGGGAGGGTGCTTAAAACATGCTTAATAAGAGTCATTCGACCACCCACAGAAAGAATTTTTTGTTTCCATCCTGCCAGTTTAGTGTCAAATTTATCAAGAATATGCTCAAAGTATGTGTTTAGGGATCTTCCAGTGAAGATAGTAGCACCCAAATAGGTAAAAGGTAAAGAACCTTTTTTTATTTGAAAAATGTTATTAACAATCATGTAGTTATGATTCTTAGCATGCTTAGAAATGATGTAAAAGCTTTTGTCTTTGTTAATAAGCTGCCCAGAAAAAGATTCATAATCAGTAATGACTTTTTGAAGTTTAGTAAGGGTTTTTTTCTCAGCATTGGAAAAAACAACAAGGTCATCAGCAAAGGAAAGATGGTTAATATTGGGCATACCTCTGCAAGTGTGATAAGCAATACCTTTGCCTGTGTTGAAAAGGTTATTAATCTGTCTGGAAAGGATCTCAGCGGCCATGATAAAAAGAATGGGCGATAGGGGGTCTCCTTGTTTAACCCCCCTCGAGGGCTTAAAAAAGCCTTTGGGGGCACCATTAATGAGGACAGAACACCAGGTAGAGTTCAAATTGTTCATTATCAGATTAGTAAACGAAGGATGAAAACCAAATTTCATAAGAGTATATCTAATAAAAGACCAAGAAATCCTATCAAACGCTTTCATCATATCAAACTTGAAAATAATATTGTGACCCCTCGTTTTTTTATTGATATGATTAATCAACTCTCTAAGCATAAGGATACTATCAGAAATTTCCTTCCCTTTCTGAAAAGCAGTTTGTTCCGGGGAAATAATTTTTGGCAAAAGGGGAGTAATCCTTAAAGTGAGTATTTTTGTAAAAATTTTGTTGATGAAATTACTGAGGCTTATAGGTCTAAATTTTGAAAATTGATAAGCGTTAGGATCCTTCGGAATAAGACAAATAAGGGTATGACCAATGCTTTTGGGGATAGGGACGTCACAAAAGAATTCATGGACTGCATTAAGTAAGTCATTCTCAATAACATCATAAGCATACTGGTAGAAGAAACCATCAAAGCCATCACTTCCTGGAGCACTATGTTTGTCAAGGCTAAAAACAACAGTTTTAAGCTCATCTTTAGTAACAGTTCTCATCAGTAAATCATTATCGGAATCAGTAACCACAGGGTTGATATTTTGTAAATAAATGGTAGAGTCTTGAGAATCAGGGACATTACTCTCATCTTTAGTAAGAAGTGAGGTAAAATAGGAAATTGCAGCCTTACTAATTCCATCATTGGTTTCAGTCCAGGAGCCATCTTCCAACTTGATTTTGGAAATGGTTAGTTTTTTATGTTTGGCTTTAAGGGAGAGATGAAAAAATTTTGTGTTTGCATCTCCCTCCTTGAGCCATTTTAATTTTGCCTTTTGCCTATAGTACATGTTTATATAGGAAGAGGCCTCAATATATCTAGCCTGAGCTTGCCTCAGAAGAATATGGTCTTCTTCCGAGAGGGAATCAGAGATCTTTTCTTCAAGAGTAGTTATTTCTTTTTCAGCTTCAAATTGTTTATTGAAAATATCCCCAAAAATATTTTTATTCCACTCTTTAAGAGTGTTTTTGAGTCTCTTTAGTTTGCTGGAAAATCTCCACATGCCATAGCCCTCACAAGGGGTATCCCAAGAGTTCTTTACAGTCTGTAGAAAGGAATTATGCTTAGTCCACATGTGCTGAAACTTAAAGCTTTTGGGGCCAGTGTTAGGGACAAAAATCTCTTGAAGAAGAAGTGGGTTATGATCAGAAACACATTTATTTATCTTTTTTAAGGTAATGTTCCAGTTTAGCTGTAAAACCTCATTAGAACACATGACCCTATCCAATTTTTTAAGAACAAGACCATTCATCCTATTTCCCATCCAAGTGTAAGGAGTACCTTGGAAATTAAGCTCAGACAGATTGTTAGTAAAAATGAAATCCTTGAACTCATCCATATCAATCATACATGGGTTACTCTTACCCTTGTATTCCTGTAAATTGGCTATAACATTGAAATCACCTCCCAAAATCCATGGCATTGGTCCAATGGTAGCTCTGAATTCAGATAATTCTTTCCAAAGAGTTCTTCTAGTTATCCTGTCATTTCCACCATAGACAACAGAGACATACAAGGGGCTATCCATGTGATGAAACTTGATAAGCAAGTTAACACATTGGGTCAGATCAGATATAATAGTGACATTGAAATCACTGTTCCACATAATCCAAATTTTATTGAGGCAGTGAGCATAGGCTCCAGAAAAACCAAGAGTCATCATTTTATAATTCAATTTGCTGGAATTAAACGTGGGATTACCTAAATAAAATCATAACCATGATTTGAGAAATGATGAAATGGATTAAAATGCATGATTAGTCATGGTGTATATGACTAATGAAAAAAAATAGATTAATTTTTTAATTAATCATTAGTACGTAGTATATATTTCTTAATGCATAAGAGGATATACTTGAACCATGTATGAGATAAGCTCGAATAATCTAGTAAGTGAATATAAAAGGGTTGTAAAGTTGTGATTATCCATATTAAATATGGATTATGGAAGTATTATATGATAAATAAAAAAATAGATTAATTTATTAATTAATCATGAGTATATTTTTCTTAAATGAATAAGAAGGTATACTTGAACCGTGTATGTGATTAACTAGAGTTATCTAGTAAAGAAATATAAAAAGATATGTGATATGTGATTAGTCATATTAATTATGGATTATGGAAATATGGCATAATTAATGATTAATCAATTAATGGTATGAATAAAAGGTTGTAAGAAAGGATCATGATCCATGATTTGGGCTTGGGCATGAGATTACTCAAATAAAACAGAATGATATTCCATGAAATGTTAAATACATCTAAGAATGTATTAAGGAAAGATTTACTTATTAATAGTATTAATAAGTGTATTTAATATGCTTTAATTTGGACAGAAAATGATTATAAATTATGTGTGATGATTTGGACGTCCAAAATAATATTTTTGGACTAAGAATGACTTGTTGCATAAGCTTATAAAATTTCGTGGAAATCGGACCCCGTTTGGATGGTCAAACGGGCGTTGACCAAAATGTTGACCGGTTGCCCAGGGGGTAACCGGCGCCGGTTATAGGCAAAACCGGCGCCGGTTATGGTTCGGTTTACTCAAGAAAATCAGTAAACCGGCGCCGGTTATGGGTAAAACCGGCGCCGGTTATGTCTCGGCTTTCAGGACTGATTTTTGCTAAAAACCCAAATCGGACCCGGTTCGACGTGGGATTAATTCTGGTCATCCTATATATGAACATTTTGCATGGAATTGCATGAAATATGATGTTTAAAATGATAAGGCTTGGAATACGATTTAAACGCTAAGACTTGGACTAGTCGTTAGTAAAGAAATTATAGACCACGACCGGGCGAGGCACGTGGTAGATTATAAATGGCGGGTGAATACCCGGGACCAAGTAAGGTTATATAATACTCTGTAGGACCAGGAGGAGTCCTCTACACTCAAACGTTAACAAGGGCAAATGCAGTCCTTGAGGTGTGTTTAACCTCCATCAAATTGCATATAGGTAACAAGGGCAAATGCAGTCCTTGAGGTGTGTTCAACCTCCATCAAATTGCATATAGGTAACAAGGGCAAATGCAGTCCTTGAGGTGTGTTTAACCTCCATCAAATTACATATAGGTAACAAGGGCAAGTGCAGTCCTTGAGGTGTGTTTAACCTCCATCAAATTGCATATAGTTAACAAGGGCAAATGCAGTCCTTGAGGTGTGTTAACCTCCATCAAAGTGCATATAGGTAACAAGGGCCCGTGTAGTCCTTGAGGTGTGTTAACCTCCAGCAAATTACACATAGGATGAGGGTGTATGTGTACTCCTCAAGGCGGGGTTAGCCCGGGAATGTAAACTATGATAGTAAGGACGGATAGTCCTCGAGGTAGGTGAACCTCAAGGTAATGATTTTAAATGATTAAACGTGCTTGATCGGGAACGAGTTTCCGATAGAATATTTTCCTTGGTCTAGGGATTGATTTAAACCATGTCTGGGATATGGGAGTCCGAAGGGCCCCACAGTAATTATATTTTAGTATCGAGTGAGTTAGCCTGCGGGTGACTCCACTCGAGGGTAAGGCATGGGAAGGATGAATTTAATGAGGCTGTTACGCCTAAATGATTTGAAAGACAAATGGGCCCACGGGCCAGATATTTTACTCATATGTATATATGTATACATTTTGTTTTGAAAAGGGGTAGCTAAGAGTTATGCCCATAATTATACTATCACCCTATTTTGAGGGTCTCGCGTGAGAAACGTTAGTTACACTACATACAGTTTGCCCTCACCAGTACTTTTCTGTAGTACTGATCCCTCGGGGGAACCACCCTTTCAGGTTGAAGCTAGAGCTTACTTCCTGCACCCGTTGCTCGGGAGATCGATGGAGAGAAGACGTGGTTCGTGCTTCCTCCGGTTCTATTTCTAAATAATTAAATAATGCTCATGGAACTATTTTGACTTATAAATTAATGGAGCCTGCGAGCTCTTGTTTTACCCTTGTGTGGGTTCTTATTAAACACTTATATTCCGCTATGTGTTTGATTGTATGTTGATGTTGTTATGTATGTTTACTAATCGGTTTTGGCATATGTATCTATCGGACGTCTTGTGCAATTCGGTAAGGATGAACTGCGGTTATTCTTATTGGATTGTACGACGGTTGTCCACGTGGCACAGACGCGGTCTGGGGCGTGACAATTAAGTGGTATCAGAGCCATACGATTTCTAAACTATATAGTCAACATCTCAACAAAGTTTCTATTATAACAGTTTTTCAATGAAAACCATGAGCATAAGTTTTGTACTTTAAGAGCATTTGGTTATCGAGTTGCAAGGTCTCTGGTTGTTAAGACGGGCCCCTTAACAATTGGTATGGCAGTGACTTGAGCCAAGTTGTGTCTTGAGTACGTTTCTGTCAATTGACATTCAAACGAGTCCAAAGACTCATTCCAACATATTCTTTCAGGAATGGGTGGTAGTGATAGGGCGGTTCGAGGAAATCCGAGAGGGCGCGCACCGGGGATAGCCGGGCAAGGCAATCGGGGGATATCAATGTCGCGTAAGAGGCGAGGTATGGGCAATCAAGGCCCACGAACACGAGCCGCGATGGCTGATCACAATGTGACTGAATTCGAGTCGTGGGACTCGGAGGATGACTCAACTTATCACCCTGAAAGCGAGTCAGATGAAACTTTTTTTGAAGAAAACAGTGGGGAGGATATACATAGTATTCCTCCTGACCAGGTTAGTGAAATGCACCGATGGTACCAACGTGAAAGGGGAAGACAACGACAGGGATCTCAGGAGGGACATGTCAGAGGCGAGACTTCTCTCAGGAGGGGTCGGGGTGCTCACAGAGCACAAGTTAGGACAGTCAGGGATTCTGATGGTGAAGGACCACTCTTTAAAATCTCAAAGTATCTCAAAGAGGCTAGAGCCTTGGGGTGCAAACCATTTGATGGGACGGAGGACATATCGGAAGCAGCCGAGTGGATAAAAAGGTTGAATGATGCAGCTGATGACATGCAGGTGGTCCCTGAACGAAAGTTAAGGGTAGCCACTAGATTATTGGAGGGTTTAGCTTCTACTTGGTGGGAAGGCACCAAGGGTAAGTTTGACGGGGTTGTCACGTGGGACAACTTCGAGCAAGCATTCTATGAGCAGTTTTACACCTCTTTCGAAGTAAATCGAAAGAGGAGGGAATATATCGATCTCAAACAGGGAAATGAGTTTACGGTGAAGCAACTGGAACAAAGATTCCGACATCTGGCAAGGTTCTTGCCTGAATATGCCGCAAATGAGAATCGAATGGCAAACCATTTTTGGAATGCACTCAATTTGGAAATACGCGAAAGGGCGACCTACCAATTCAACATGACATTCAGTCAGGTAGTAGCTCAGGGTCTCCAGGGGGAGGAGCTTTGGAAGGAAAGGCAAGCAAGGGATGCAAAGGAAGCAGAAGAAAGAGCCCAGGTGATCATTCACCCTCCACGACGAGAGGGGAAGTATGAACTTCAGAGCAAGGGGAACTCTAACAAGTTAGTTCCGTTTTTCAATAAGAGCCAGGACTTGGTAAGTCAAAGCTCAAGCACTCGGGGCATGGGGGCACCCAAATGTGAGAATTGTAGGCGAAGGCACTATGGGAGATGTCGAGAGCCATCTAGATGTTACTTTTGTGGAGAAACAGGCCACATCAAGGTCCTTTGTCCTCAACGTGCGCGTGAAGGAACATCAGGAGCTAGAGGAGGGGTCACGGGGGTTGAAAACCCAACTAGGGTTGCCTCAAACATGGTACCTTCTACAAGTCAATGGCGAACTCGCTCGTGAAGGCCGGGAATGGCGGAAGCCATTTGTTAGGCCCGACGTTGGCACAAGGTATTATTAAATTAAACCTTTATTTCCATAAATATGTTTATTTTCAAAATTGTTAGCTTCAGATAATGAAGGGAGAAATGTTTCTCAAGGTTCAAGCGTTAATTTCGGGGACGAAATTCCTGTAAGGGGGGGTGAACTTGTAACACCGGACCCGAATTTTACCCAGATAAATTTTTTTTCATAAAGTACTTGGTTAAAGAAGGTAAATCAAGACTAAGAGTAGTCTTGATAAATGAGAAAGTAAAAATTTTGTCTTAAATTAATAAAGGGTTATTAATTTAAACGTGGGACCACACGTGGTATTTCAAGTTTATAAAATATTACTATTTTCCAAAACGATACTATTATGATAGTAGGAATGGGTCGTGGACCCCATTGTTATAAAGATCGACAACTGGACGGCCGAGCGGGCCAGGGCCACTATTCGATAGTGAGGAGTCCTTAATTATCGGACTGTCAATAATTCGTAGGACTACGAATTTATAACAGAAGAAATATAAACATTCTAAGAAACCAAAATAATGGGATGAATAATATTGATTAAATTGACATATTAGAGGTGGGTACTTTTGGAGGACCCTACCTTGAAGATATTTTCGTATAAGAATAAACAGATAAGATGTTATCTGTTCATACAGTTCGGGCCACTTAAAAATAAGTGTAACATTTTATTAAAGTGTCACCAAATATGAAACCACATATTATGTAATGAGAAATGACGAGTGAATTTTCGAGGCAACGCGTTCTCATTTTTACTGTTACTTCAACAGTAAAATACACGTTGGGCCCACACGTGGGCGGCGACCATCCGATATTTGAGGACCACATAATATATTCATCTCGGTCTAGATACTATTTATATGATGGTGTAAATTAATGTTGAGCCATAAAGTTGGCCTTTCGATCAAACAAGGTCCCATTATCGGTATAGTTAGTTAATCAGATAACAGCCCGAAATAAATTCCGGGGACCATTAAATTGAAGTTGGGTAATATATATTCATTTTAGAGTCCAATATTAATTGGAAGAATGATATATATTTTACTTAACCCGATAAAATAAAATATAATTAAAACAGTCCAGAAAATACAACTTTCGGGACCAATTGTACACTTTGGGACATAAAGGGATGACCTCCCACATGGGTGGGGGCCACCCCACGACTTGTGGTCTCAAATAAGTGAGGAGGACCATGTTGGAGAGCTGGAAATGAATTGAGATGATGGGGGGATTAATCAAGTCATCAAATGAACTTCTCCCCCACACCATTCACACATGAAAGACAACAAGGACATCTCACTCACCCACCCTCCTATTATTTCGGCCCTAGCATCAAGTAGGGAGGAAAGGAGTCTCAAAAACATCATCTCCACCAGCTCTACTCGAGCTAAGAACAAGGGGAAAGAAGGAAGCAAGAAGAGAGGAGGCTGCCAACCAGTTCGTACAATTTCAACCCTCGAGATTGTTCACTTCATATCACACGCATCTCTTATCCAATAAGCTCGAGTAAGGTGTCATTAGATAGGTCTTGAAGAGAGCTTTCATACGAGGTGCTGCACTTAAGGATACGAGGTGTTTACAGCTCAAAAAGGGCAGATAAACACACGAGGTATAAATCTGGATTCTCAAAACAGTTTGTATTTGGTTTCTAGTTATTACCCAAAATTGTTTATAAACCCTATTAACGAATAAAGTGGATATCCTACACGATTATAAGTGTAGTATAAGACCTTAATATAGTAATTTAATCATCCAAAGGGTTGGCTAATAACCATGAACGGAGTTATGACCGGAGTAAGACCGGTTCACCGGAAAACACCTTCTCGGAAGGTTTTGATGTTTATACCACTTTTGGTTTATGAAACCTTGTTTGGTCTTTTACCAAGATATTATAGACTTCTCGAGGAATCTAGGAGTGGCCGGAAAAGTCGCCGGAGCCGCCGGAGTTTTCGCCGGAAAATTCAAAAGTCGCCGGAGTTCGAACAAAGAAGATAAAAGCTTGCTAGCGTCATTTCAAGGTGAGTGGACGACTACGTGTCTTGTAACTCTTGGTTCAAACGTGGGATTACCTAAATAAAATCATAACCATGATTTGAGAAATGATGAAATGGATTAAAATGCATGATTAGTCATGGTGTATATGACTAATGAAAAAAAATAGATTAATTTATTAATTAATCATTAGTACGTAGTATATATTTCTTAATGCATAAGAGGATATACTTGAACCATGTATGAGATAAGCTCGAATAATCTAGTAAGTGAATATAAAAGGGTTGTAAAGTTGTGATTATCCATATTAAATATGGATTATGGAAGTATTATATGATAAATAAAAAAATAGATTAATTTATTAATTAATCATGAGTATATTTTTCTTAAATGAATAAGAAGGTATACTTGAACCGTGTATGTGATTAACTAGAGTTATCTAGTAAAGAAATATAAAAAGATATGTGATATGTGATTAGTCATATTAATTATGGATTATGGAAATATGGCATAATTAATGATTAATCAATTAATGGTATGAATAAAAGGTTGTAAGAAAGGATCATGATCCATGATTTGGGCTTGGGCATGAGATTACTCAAATAAAACAGAATGATATTCCATGAAATGTTAAATACATCTAAGAATGTATTAAGGAAAGATTTACTTATTAATAGTATTAATAAGTGTATTTAATATGCTTTAATTTGGACAGAAAATGATTATAAATTATGTGTGATGATTTGGACGTCCAAAATAATATTTTTGGACTAAGAATGACTTGTTGCATAAGCTTATAAAATTTCGTGGAAATCGGACCCCGTTTGGATGGTCAAACGGGCGTTGACCAAAATGTTGACCGGTTGCCCAGGGGGTAACCGGCGCCGGTTATAGGCAAAACCGGCGCCGGTTATGGTTCGGTTTACTCAAGAAAATCAGTAAACCGGCGCCGGTTATGGGTAAAACCGGCGCCGGTTATGTCTCGGCTTTCAGGACTGATTTTTGCTAAAAACCCAAATCGGACCCGGTTCGACGTGGGATTAATTCTGGTCATCCTATATATGAACATTTTGCATGGAATTGCATGAAATATGATGTTTAAAATGATAAGGCTTGGAATACGATTTAAACGCTAAGACTTGGACTAGTCGTTAGTAAAGAAATTATAGACCACGACCGGGCGAGGCACGTGGTAGATTATAAATGGCGGGTGAATACCCGGGACCAAGTAAGGTTATATAATACTCTGTAGGACCAGGAGGAGTCCTCTACACTCAAACGTTAACAAGGGCAAATGCAGTCCTTGAGGTGTGTTTAACCTCCATCAAATTGCATATAGGTAACAAGGGCAAATGCAGTCCTTGAGGTGTGTTCAACCTCCATCAAATTGCATATAGGTAACAAGGGCAAATGCAGTCCTTGAGGTGTGTTTAACCTCCATCAAATTGCATATAGGTAACAAGGGCAAGTGCAGTCCTTGAGGTGTGTTTAACCTCCATCAAATTGCATATAGTTAACAAGGGCAAATGCAGTCCTTGAGGTGTGTTAACCTCCATCAAAGTGCATATAGGTAACAAGGGCCCGTGTAGTCCTTGAGGTGTGTTAACCTCCAGCAAATTACACATAGGATGAGGGTGTATGTGTACTCCTCAAGGCGGGGTTAGCCCGGGAATGTAAACTATGATAGTAAGGACGGATAGTCCTCGAGGTAGGTGAACCTCAAGGTAATGATTTTAAATGATTAAACGTGCTTGATCGGGAACGAGTTTCCGATAGAATATTTTCCTTGGTCTAGGGATTGATTTAAACCATGTCTGGGATATGGGAGTCCGAAGGGCCCCACAGTAATTATATTTTAGTATCGAGTGAGTTAGCCTGCGGGTGACTCCACTCGAGGGTAAGGCATGGGAAGGATGAATTTAATGAGGCTGTTACGCCTAAATGATTTGAAAGACAAATGGGCCCACGGGCCAGATATTTTACTCATATGTATATATGTATACATTTTGTTTTGAAAAGGGGTAGCTAAGAGTTATGCCCATAATTATACTATCACCCTATTTTGAGGGTCTCGCGTGAGAAACGTTAGTTACACTACATACAGTTTGCCCTCACCAGTACTTTTCTGTAGTACTGATCCCTCGGGGGAACCACCCTTTCAGGTTGAAGCTAGAGCTTACTTCCTGCACCCGTTGCTCGGGAGATCGATGGAGAGAAGACGTGGTTCGTGCTTCCTCCGGTTCTATTTCTAAATAATTAAATAATGCTCATGGAACTATTTTGACTTATAAATTAATGGAGCCTGCGAGCTCTTGTTTTACCCTTGTGTGGGTTCTTATTAAACACTTATATTCCGCTATGTGTTTGATTGTATGTTGATGTTGTTATGTATGTTTACTAATCGGTTTTGGCATATGTATCTATCGGACGTCTTGTGCAATTCGGTAAGGATGAACTGCGGTTATTCTTATTGGATTGTACGACGGTTGTCCACGTGGCACAGACGCGGTCTGGGGCGTGACACAAGGTATGGGCATTTTGAGTTCCTTGTTATGTCGTTTGGGTTAACAAACGCCCCAGCGGCATTCATGGACTTGATGAACCGAGTATTCCATAAATACTTGGATCGGTTCGTGATTGTGTTCATAGACGATATCTTGATTTACTCGAAGAGTGAAGAAGAGCACGAGGAGCATTTGATACTTGTTCTTGAGACACTACGGGAGAAGCAACTTTATGCCAAATTTTCTAAATGTGAATTTTGGCTAAAGGAAATTGGCTTTCTCGGGCACGTGGTTTCAGGATCGGGAATTGCTGTTGATAACAAGAAGATAGAAGCCATTACCGAATGGGAGAGACCAAAGAATGTCAAGGAAATTCGTAGCTTCCTTGGATTGGCGGGCTATTACAGAAAGTTCGTGGAAAAGTTCTCTGTTTTGGCGTCGCCGTTGACGAAGCTCACTCGAAAGGGAGCTAAGTTTATATGGGATGACAAATGTGAGAAGGGATTCATCGAACTGAAGAAGAGATTGACCGAGGCACCGGTACTTGCATTACCCAAACAGGGTGTGGGGTACGATGTCTATAGCGATGCGAGCATCCAAGGGTTTGGGTGTGTGTTGATGCAGGAGGGGAGAGTAATTGCCTATGCTTCACGACAGTTGAAGAAGCATGAGGTAAATTACCCTACCCATGACCTGGAGCTGGGAGCAGTAGTGTTTGCACTGAAGATTTGGAGACATTATCTCTACGGAGAGACATGTCACATATATACTGATCATAAGAGCTTGAAGTACGTGTTTACTCAGAAAGAGTTAAACATGCGACAGAGACGGTGGATGGAGTTGATAAAGGACTACCATCTAGTTATTGAGTACCATCCAGGCAAGGCAAACGTTGTAGCAGATGCCCTGAGTCGGAAGAGTTCGTCTGGGGCATTGTTGACTAGTTTGAGGGCACTGAGGGCCCAATTGGATGTATCTAGCGACGGTGCCTTATTGGCACGATTTGAAGTGAGACCGACCTTACTTGATGAGATCAAGAAGGGTCAAGCGACTGACACAGAACTTATGAAGGTCCGGGAACGCATGCAAGCGGGACCGGTGGAGGATTTCAGGGAAAGAGATGATGGTCTCTTGTTATTTCGTGACCGAGTGTGTGTACCGTCAGATGAGGAGCTCCGAAAGTCCATCTTAGAGGAGGCTCATTCATCGGCTTATGCCATGCACCCGGGGGGCACGAAAATGTACCGTGACTTGAAAGAAAGTTACTGGTGGTCTGGGATGAAGAGGGAAATAGCCGAATACATTAGTCGATGCCTTACTTGTCAACAAGTTAAGGCGGAACATCAGCATCCAGCAGGCTTATTGCAGCCACTTTCTATTCCTGAATGGAAGTGGGAACACGTGACTATGGATTTCGTGGTAGGTTTACCACGGACAATCAGGAACTATGATGCAGTTTGGGTCGTTGTGGATAGGCTCACAAAGAGTGCACACTTCTTGCCTATCAACACTACTTACCCACTTGAGAGGTTGGCCAAATTGTACACGGATGAGATCGTGAGGCTACATGGGGTCCCAGTGACCATTGTATCTGATAGAGACCCACGATTCACATCACGTTTTTGGCCGAAATTTCAGGAGTCTATGGGAACGAGGCTGAAGTTCAGTACTGCTTTCCACCCACAGACGGATGGGCAGTCTGAAAGAGTCATACAGATCTTAGAAGACATGCTGAGGGCTTGTGCATTGGAGTTTCAAGGAAGTTGGGACAACCACTTAGCACTCGTGGAGTTTGCCTATAACAACAGTTATCAGGCAAGCATCGGCATGCCTCCATACGAGGCACTGTATGGGAGGAGGTGCCGTACACCGTTATGCTGGGATGAGGTTGGCATGGCCAAACTCGAGGGTACTGAGTTGGTTGAGGTCACCAAATCAAAGGTGAAATTGATTCGAGAGAGACTCAAAGCGGCCCAGGATAGGCAAAAGAGTTATGCAGATAAGCGTCGAAGAACCTTAGAGTTTAAGGTTGATGACGAGGTATTCTTGAAAGTTTCTCCTTGGAAAGGAATCATTCGATTTCAAACCCGAGGGAAGCTTAACCCACGGTACATAGGTCCATTCAGAATTATAGAGAGGATTGGGGCCGTTGCATATCGTCTACAGTTGACTCCTGAGTTAGAGAAGATACATAATGTGTTTCATGTATCCATGCTTAAGAAGTATGTGCATGATCCCTCACACGTATTGGAGAAGCCACCTGTAGAGGTACGTGAGGATTTGAACTACGCTGTTCAACCAATCAAGGTCACCGATAGGAAGGTGAAGAAATTGAGAAGCAAGGAAGTCCCAATGGTTAAAGTACTTTGGAAAAGCGATCGGGTCGAAGAAGAGACATGGGAAACAGAGGCCTTGATGAGGAAACAGTATGCTTTCCTATTCGAGTAGAGCTGTGAATTTCGGGGACGAAATTCCTGTTAAGGGGGGGTGAACTTGTGACACCGCACCCGAACGTCCTTGAAAATTTGATTTTAAAATTCAAAGTTTATGTATTGGATTTCTAATTCCCAAACAATTGTAAAACGATTGGTGTTTTACGTAATTCATGATCGATTATTATACCGCTCGAACTCGTACATTATTGTTGGGCTTGCGAATACTCGTTTGGGCCTTATTAATAAATAAAAGATCCTAGCATTAACTAAATGGTTATACATAACGTTTCAAGACAAGTTGAGGAAGGGCGGGCGGCCCATATATTATTTTGGGCTCAACCCGCTAAAATAGCAAATATTTGAGGACGGCGTCGTAGGCCCACTCGGGGGCGACCCACACGGCTGGTAGCCCAATAATATGAATGACAAATGTCAAAATAAGTGATAGGATGATTAAAGAAGAGTACAAATGCCTATAACCCCATCTTTGGCATTATTGAGCCAAATAATGGGAGTAGGATTTTCCTTCTATATTATCCATCAAGTAAATTATTGAGATGAGCCTACACATATTGGAGATCAATAATGTTATGTAGGAAGTTGACTTGTTCTAAATAAATTAGGAGACTGCCATAGCTGACTCTAGGGGCTGGACTTGACAAAGGAAACAAGAGGGAACCCCACCTAGTCAATTTTCGCACAAAAGAGTGGTGCTGGTTGTCTCCCTTCATGAGTGATGTTATACTCGGCCAAATAAGGTGAATGAGGTGTCCTTGGATAGCTTTTGAAGTCTATTTTTATAATTGAGTGGTCTCAGTTCGAGAGGAGAGAGTAATCATCCAAAAATCGATCTGGAACGAGCAGTGGTCTGTGAACCCGAGCTGTTAGAGTGCTGAGACTGTTTGGTTGATATCTCGAGTTCTACCAATCCAATTAAGGCGTGTGAGATACCAAAAGAAATCTCTCAAGACTAGGAATCCGTGAAGGTCTGGTTTGCATCAATCGGAGTAGAGGAAGGCTTCCAAATCGCCCGAGCAGAACGCGACCTCGCAGGAACGGATTTACTCTTCTAGGTGAGTTGTTAATCCCAAGTCCTTTCCATTCATTTTCCAAATGATATGAACGATTGGTGGGACTATTGTACACTAATACAAGTGTATAATATGTCCTTGTAAAGTTATTTTTATTGATGTAAAGGTTAGATACTAACCTAGAGCAAATATTGGAAAACTAGGAATCGAGTTAGCCGGAAAACACCCGTTCTAGGGGCTGTTTTCGTATCAACGGTTAGGGGTTGAATTAGCAACTTGAGGAAGCTGTTTAACACCCATTTTCAAGCAAGGAACCAGTTCTCAATCTTCCTTGGCCGAGGCTTTGGTCATTGGATCGAGAAGGAAAGTTTTAAAGCTCATTTGAGGTGAGGATCGACATCTAGTTGCTTACAACTTGTAGGTTAAGCATGAGATTACCTAAATGCTCAAATTATGTTTTCCATGGATTATGATGATAAATTATTGATGAAATATTGATCTACTTTCCAAAGAATGAAATGAGAAATGATTTGGTAAAGTATTGATAAAAATGGGATTAAGTGAACTATTGTGTGAAATAGTCATTTTATCCATGTGTGAATTGTGTAGATACATAAATGATTATTTATGTATTGCATTGAATGATTAAGTTGCTGCTACATATCTCTAAATATGTAGGGTTATACAAATGGAATATATGATGGATAAGAAAAATCTTAATAGTATTGAAATACTAGTTAATGATTGTTGTAATTGTTAAGGGAATTGAATCTAAGGATTTGATTATAATTGATGTACTTAATTGTGATGCAAGTGACAAATTTGATGTAATGTGATGCTAAGATCATGGTTGGGCAGTCCGTAGGGATGTCCCAAAATAGATTATTGATATTACAATTCTAGGCATAGTGAGTGCTTAGGAATTGGGGTCTATGCCAATGTAAGGAGATGTACTTGAGCCCGTGCTCATAGAATTGCATTGGGTAGACATGGTGAGGTGATTGTTGTGCATGGTGATGTAGTTGAGTTGGACTCAAGAAATGCACGGTGGAGTAGTTAGCTTATGTTAATTAAGGTGCATGGTGATGTAGTCGAGTTGGACTCGAGATGCAAACATATGTTTTGGGGTTGAACCCTATGTATTGTTGTGACTAGGGGTCACGGGATTTTGGGGTATGTTTGATAAACAAACCTTGGGCCTACGGGCCGACTACTTGACTTTATATATAAAGTAAGTATATTTTAAAACGGGGTAACTTGGGGTTACGGCCTAGATTATATTATCACCCTATTTGAGGGTCTTGTGTTTGAAATACTTGTTGTATATCTATTAGATGCCATCCACACCAGCACTTTATAGCCCTATAGAGTGCTGACCCCTTCGGGGGCGTCCCACCACCATTTTTCAGGTTGAGGCTAGAGCTTGCT